AATGATGTCATCAAACTAATCCCCACACCAACACACACGTAGAGGAGCTGTGTGTGTGTGTGTGTGAAGATTTTTAATTTATTGTCTGCTGTAAACTGACTTAATAACAATGTCATGTAAATACAAGGTTCATTTGTTGTAATAGCACAGCTAAGTAGTTCCTTGCACAATTTTTTTTAATTAAGTTATCAATAATTACAGTTTTAAGCTTTTCTCTTTTAAGAATAGCAGTTGCACTGACATAACTGCACAGACTTAGACTAGACCTTAATATTTTAGCTATGTTTTGTTATAAAGATGCTAACATTCTAATATTGATCTCTTTACTCATATATAATTATAATCTCATGAGAAGTTCTTATGCTAATTAACTATAGTTGACCACACCTACAGAATAATTTTTGTAAAAAAGATTTCTTTTATGATAAAGCTGTAAATGAAACTGATATAAATAAATAGGAAAGGTCAAGGTTCAGAGCACGAAATGGACCACTCCAGAATGGTGTTCAGGTAGTACTTTAAAGTATACATTTAAAAAAAAATCTAAAGATGAATAATGATACAGAAAAAGATGGCAAGTATTTTTAAACAAAGTGATGGTTGGTAGTTGATACCATTCTGAAGTGTTGTCACTGTGAGAGTTCATTGTGCTCTTATTATTTTCACTAAATATATGCACCAATCTCTTCATCATTTTTTTTTCTTTTTATACACAAATCAACCAATACAGTACCGGTGTATATTTATGTATGAAATGAATGAAAATCCCTATTAATTATCACTAATACTTATCCAGCTTATAAATACGGGAAGTGGTAAGGAGCGTCAGGGCCGCAACATGTCGGGTGATTCCGGCACTTCTGAAGGTGACCCGGGTGATTCCTCCGGGTGTTCTGTGGGAGGGGAATCTGACTCATCTTCAGGGAGTGATCATGTGCACCAATCCTCCTGTGACTCTGGCACTGGTCAAGAGGTAATGAAAATTTTTTATGTAAAATTTGTAGAAAAAAATCTTGCCTTTAAAAATTTCTTGTTCAATACAGTATGCTGCTGTAAAACAGTGTCACATATAATATAGCATTTATATTGAAGCCATTGGATATAGGGTTGGCAGGGCATTATGTTGCATGTACAGGGTGTCTGCTTTTTTATGTTAAAAACCCATAGCTGACTGGCACTCCTCAATGAAAATGTAACACAGTGCAGAGAATGTTGTCCCTTTGTCTTTAATGTATGTGAACATGATTAGTGTGCAATATATGTGAACCTCATTTAGGTTCCCTTCACCCAAGAAGCTTATCACTAAAACTTGTGAATCTTGAGCTACAGATGGGTAAAAGAGCTTTGCAAGTTGTTAAAAAGTATACATCTGTACCAGGGTGTCTGCTGGTCAGGTAGACCTGGAAAAGGCAGGAAATTTTACAAATAAACCTGTAATTTTATGTGAATTCAGTTCGACTTCAAAATATTATTACAGTATTTTGACAGCAGTCTTACCATAAATTAATGATGTACTGTATAATAGGTAAATTAGTAATACCTACTAATTCTGCAATAAGTATTGTCAGAGATGAATTGTTCTTATAATTAAGTGACTTTATTTAAGTGGATTATTCCACATATTAATCATGAGTCATATAGGTGGATCAGGAGCGTGATTTGTCGTTTTTTGCCGGATTTTCGGCTTTTTTGGAACGTCCAGGTTGACCCACGTGAATCGCACAAATCCAAGGAGAAAAATATGGAGGGTTGGGGGGGGGGAATCAAGGTCTTTGACGATGTTCATCACTAGGCTTGGGGTGGGTCGCAAAAGGGTTACAGTTTCTTCATTAATATCATTTATATCATCTTTAAATTTCCAAATAATATATACATATTATGGAAAACATCTAATTCTGTAATTCTGTCATAATAAATTCTGAGTTAATGTGCCTGGAATTGTTCAAATTTACAGCTGGAACACCTGGAAAAGTCCAGGAATTTTGTTTTGTCTGGCCAGTAGAGATCCCGTGTACCAATCTTCAAACTTTTAATACAGCATCGTTCATTATCTAATTTTGTTGGTTGTTGTTAGGATAAAATAAATTATAAATTAATCTTAGGAATCTTCTGACCTCTAGTTTGGTTTAAAATCTTAACTTTGCATTAGTGAATTAAATACATTCATCTTTTTTTTTTCTCAAAGAATATTTCCCTTTGAAAGCATATTAAGAGTGCAACTTCTCTGATGATATTGATATATTTTTATCCCCAGACAACTGCTCCTCATCTTATATCTTGGATGATCTTACTTTTTTTTCTCCTCTTTTTTTATACTGTACTAAATATATCCAGTATTGATAGGAAAGTGGGTCACTTATTTTCTGCAGCTGTGGACAGCATTGAGGATCTCAGTACATGAATCACATCTAAGATAGAATTAAATCAAATAAATTGCCCGTAGATAAATACTGCACAGTATTGTATTTGTATGTATTCAGGACTGATTAAATACCTAATAACATTCTCAGGGCTATAACTCTTCAACATGTGTGAATTTTGTTACAGTTGATACATTATTTGATCATTTCTGAAGTAAATAAAATATTTGTGTACTCAATTTTCAGGAACATAGATTCTCATGTAAAAACGAGAAACCTGGATCAGTGAGGCTGAACATACCTGGCTCATCTAACCTCCGGCTGAGACTGCCGTTTGATAGAGTAAGAATTGCTAGTAGATTAATATTGTATGTGTGTGTGTGTACGGTATGTATCTGGCTCACTCTTGCAACCTTTCCTGCTCTAGTGTAGAATGTCAGGCAAGCACTAATCCCTTTAGGAAGATCGTAATCCACACTACTGTAGACCAAGGCTTTTTTTTTTTTTTAGGGTTAAGAATAAAAAAAATATTTTCCCATAAAGTGGAGGCAAAAGTTTATGGAACTGGTGATGGCTGTTAAGAATACTGTATATAAACACAAGGGAAGGAATCTTAAAAAAAAATTTCCTTCATAAAACGATAACTTAAATCTAAGTTTTTTCCAATCTCCTCATTTTATTTAAAGTAATGCATAGATGCTAAAAGTATATCATAGTAAACTTTGGAGGATGTTACAAGATGCAATCTTGTATTTACAGTAGTGTGACACCCATTAAAATCAATACCGTATACTGTGTGTGTATTATATATATATATATATATATATATATATATATATATATATATATATATATATATATATATATATATATATATATATATATATATATATATATATATATATATATATATATTGTATATATATATATATTGTATATATATATATATTGTATATATATATATATCCTTTATACAACCAACCAACCTGACACAACCTTCACTAATCCCACATTACTGCATGCTGACAGGATAGTTTCAATATGGTTCAGTGTGCCTTCATTTGGTGTTGGAATCTTGCTGTAGTGACTTCTAATGTTATTTTTTTAATATTCATTCAAGTTTCATAATTCATCTTACCTGTTATCCCCTGATCACTTTAATGAACTTAACTAAAACAAAAGCTTTATTGACATCATATGAGACACCATTTGTCTGTTAGTCATGATTGATTCAGTAATCATTGGTATGAAAAGGTTTGATGCAGTATTGAGAGGTTAAACACCTGTGAAACATTATGTGCTGTACAGGCACAACATGTAGTTAGTGGGTACGTCCAGTATTGGCTATAAAAAATAATATGTAGTTTAATACTGATATAATTATATTTCTTCAGATACCTAACATGGGAGGATATGTATCTGCTGGTTCTGTACCTAACTTGGCTGGAGGAATAGCAGAAGCAGGACAATCCTTGCAGCAGTCTACTCCAAGCCTGGCCCTAGGAATTCTTCCAGATATACCTTTAGAAGCTAGACGCACCTCAACTGGATATATTAGCATGCCTGACACTGATGCTGAAAACCTGCACTTGGCTGTGTTGGGTAATTTAACTCTTCCTCACGAGGGCCGGGGGCAAAATGGCTTTCCTGCTTACTCTCGACATAATTTCCCTCATCAGAAAACTTCCACACCTGATTTGTCTCCCTATACAAAACCCGAGTCATTGCCTTGGTTTAACACAGGTAATGTTACTGTGGCTCAGGCTGAGGGTGGAGGAAGAGACACACGAGGTGCTTGTGGGTATGTAGCAGTTGGTGATGCTATGGGTGCCATGAAGAGACAGCCCTCTCCGCCATCACTTGATTTAAATACCAACAAATCTCAAAGTACACAAGATGAAACTCTGCCAACTGGTGCATATTGCAGGGTAGGAGCTCGTGGCTCACCTGGCCCTCCCCCTGGATATGTCAGTATCACCCAGGACATGCTGTCACACACATCACCAGCTGTTAGTTCTTCTTCTCCAATTAATAAAACTCCATATGTTACATGTGCAATGGCAGAATCTATTGCATCACCCAAGAAAGAACCCGAAAAGGTTACCGGTGACTATGTGGCTGTAGGGGATGCAAGAAATGGGCGTTGGGCTCATCCAGTGATGCCACCCAGCACCATTGAGGAGAGCCGAGAAGTGGCATCGGCACCAATTGAAGGCTCTCGAGGTAGACCTTCTCTACCAACACGACCGAACACATCGGAAACAAACCACAATCGGGGGGGAAATCGATGGACCCCTGTAGGCCCTTCTCTCTCCAAGCAGAGTTCAGGCTATGTGTCCGGAAATGTGTCCCAGGAAACATTATCCTTCCATGATCCTGTAGTTATGTCTCCAAAAAAGCTTTTGGCCCAGAGCCATGAGCCTCACTCTGTGGTTTATTCACCTAACCACAAACCATCTATGGTGTGAAACTAATTTCATGATAGTGAATGGATTTGTTCTTTATCCAAGATGACTGATAATTATTTGTTAATCCATTACAATTCACAGTGCAGTGGGTTCACCTAATATTGTTGAAACTTTATATATATATATGTATATATATATATATATATGGTGTCTGGCATAGCACAGAGTTACAGACGAACTCACCACCTCCTCAAAAATCCGTCTTCTGTTGTGTTAAAATTTTGCAGGCTTTATCTTTCGATTTGTGTACACATCATATATGGTAGTTTGTCTCTGCTCTCCTTGGCTGGCCATTGAAATGTAGGGTAGTGCAACAAAGACAGACTCACCACCAATGGGAATGCTGGCTGACCCCACACCCTCCCTCTCAGCCAATCACCTTGTCCACACATCTCTCAGCGTCTACGTATTATATACAGCTACGGATTTTAAGGCTGTTTTTGTGGGTTTAATAGCCATTTTGTGATTGGAAAATTAGTTCCTGAGATACTGAAGTGTTGCTTGGCCAATTCTATCAATATTTGATGATATTGTGGGATTTTATAGTTGTAAATCTTTGACGCTTGTTTATTCAAAATCATGTTTTAGTTAGTTTGTCTGTGCTATGTTAGATGCCTCACATTATATATATATATATATATATATATATATATATATATATATATATATATATATATATATATATATATATATATATATATATATATATATATATATATATATATATATATATATATATACACAGTATATATATATATATAAAGTATGTATCAAGACTATAATATTATCCCTTTGGATTACTCCAAAGGCAAAGTTACCCTATTCTGGGGAGTGAACTTCCATTTTTTTCTCTGAAATTTGTGAATTTGTGTGTGAAGACTCGTACAGAGAAACACCAAGTGTGTGATACCAAATCCTCATCAGTGCAGTGATAATCTGAACATAGTTTGGTGAAAATTAACGTTGGAAAACCAAGATATGTAACTTAAGTGTTTTTTGTAGTGACGTTTGGGGTTTATAGTGCAAATCTTGCGAGCTTTGCTAATTATTGATCCCTCTGTTATCAGTGGTACACCTTTAGAAAGTACAAAGACTTGCTCCCGGTAGTTGGTGTTCAGCCAGCAGAATTTGATGGAAACAGCTGTGTAAGACTAAAAGAAGGTGTGTACAAGTTGGATGTTTTTTTAAAAGTAGAAAACCTTACTGTCTGTGCATCAAAGAGCCATAAATGCTAATTATGATTTCCTTGCAAGTGGGAGATACACTAAAGAGCAATTACTGTCATCAATTTTCAGGTCTTGGATTTATTTATTATATTTTATTTTTGCTGAAGTTACTCTTTGCAGTTCAAAAGGTCATTTATTAATAAAAATAAAATTACCATAACCTATCATGGTAATTATCTCTGAGAGAGTGGCAATACTTTTTCTTACTGATGACAATGCAAAGTTGAAGATTGATTCTAATTATTTGTTCATGATGTATTGCTTGCTGAGCATTGCCCTGCCATGCTCTAGTAAACAACAGTTTTATGGCATTGGGTAAATATCTCGGCAACAGATTTCAGTAAGGACTGGTTACTCTGTTTGATCATTAGACATATTGGAACATGTTTAGAAAGTAAATCTACAGTATTTGTCAAATATGTGATGACAGACTGTGTACAAAAGGTGGTAGCAGCAAATTTCATCTTCTTTACATCAACCTCCATCTCTGCTGGCAGTTCAGTATGAAACACCACTGCTTAGGATGATTATTAGTCAAGTATTAGGATCTTCACATGAGATGACTGCTGTGTAGTCCTAAGTTGGTTATATCTCCTGAGCTCAGTGCCAAGTAGTTATTCACGTGTTGAGAGTTTAAGCTACACTTCCCAATGCTCAATATGTCTCAGTTGAATACTCATTTTGCATATGTATGGGAGAATTTGGGAGCCACTTGCTTACTTCTGTTGTGTAGCTTTATGTACAACCCATCTTGAGTGTTACTTATAACTGTTTCAGAAGAGATGTATTGAAAAATGAGACCTGATTTTTTTTAAATATGTATTTTAAGCCTTTTCCCCCCAAAATTCCAGCATAATGAAGTGCAGTTCTTGGTGTTTGCAGATATATTGTTTCTGATACAAGTTTGTGATATACAAGATGGTCTAGAAAGTTCAGTTGCATCATTGAGACTCAGTGGCGTGTTCATGTTGTGTTTAAGAATGTTTATTGCATGCTCCCTACTTGTTATCTGTTCATCTGTTCATGTATATTGTGTATGTTAACTTACTGCCCAATGTTCACATCTTTCAACTTACCGCCCAGAGTCACTAAAACTGTCAGTGTCCACGCATCACCACACTTGCTTGGTTCTACCCGCACATCCATAAAAATCAAAACTTGTGTCCAACCTGACTATTATGATAATTGTAGTCAGATACTCATTCATATAGATAACTTTTCTCATTTTCTCATATCCAATTCAGTCATGAAATATTTTACACCCAAGTTAAACCGGCCCATAGTAGAGATCAACATTAGAGTGTATCATAAACAATACCCTGTGATACAGCGTTCATGCCTGCTCAAGGTTCAGTGTCCTAGGAGTGTTAAAGGAGTTGTTTCAAGGAGAAATGGATGATGTTATCCAAGAATAAGGTGTCAATCTTTCCTGAACATAAACAAAAATCCATCGAGTTGAAATCTTGTGGTGCACCTGTGATTATGAGGATGAGTATTGAATTTTTTTGTTTTTTCTCTGAATCAAAGGTAATATCAACAATGGTTAAGGAACTAGGATAATATCACTATAATGTAGAAGGACTGATTACAGGTTGTATTATGATTAATTTGAAGAATGTTATCACCCTTCCCTGTAAAGTGTGTTTTTACCAAGATAAATTCTATAGTTTCCAGAATGCAGAAAAGGATTGATAGATTGAAAAAAGTTTGACTAAAACAGATATCATGTAATCTTTTATGGTAAGTACAGGTATAGATCCTCAAATATGGGACCATTGGGATAAACACTGAACCCGTTTTGAGATTTTTCCGCTTTCCTGGATCATCCATGTTACCATAGGCCTACATGGAGACTACTTCAGGTTTTGCTTTTACACTGTGTCACACACACACACACACACACACACACACACACACACAGCTGAATGTTGGTTTTACTTCTTAAATAACAAAATAAAGAAAATTTGTACATGCTTAAAAAATAAAACAATAAATACAATCTATTCAGAAGTTGAGAGCTTCAGAAAATTAAGTTTGTGGTTTGTGGATGCTCCAGCAGCATCTAGTGAGTCACATCTGCCAGAACTAGTGAGTTCATGAATAATTATTATTGTTTGATTGAATAAATAGCCTGTGTGCGTGTATATATATATATATATATATATATATATATATATATATATATATATATATATATATATATATATATATATATATATATATATATATATATATATATATATATATATATATATATATGTTGTTTTTACAGAGCTTTTGAAATTAATATTGGTCAAATTAAACCAAAGATTTGCTGGGACATCAACAAACCTTTTAACATTCAACTGAGTGTGTGTGTGTGTGATCACATTAAAACACATATTTCCAGGTTATTGAACAAATTATAATTCAGGATTAAAGGCATACCAGTTAATAACAACAGCAATTTCCATCTGATAATTAACGTAATTTTTTTTCACATTAATTGGCATACATTACGTGTCACTTTTCATAAGGATTGAGGCGTTGCAATGTTAACAAATGAAAAAATTTCTCTGGATTTGCAAACACTATTTAGGTTAGGATTCAGATTATACTGTACAGTACTATAGTTTATACTATAATCATTTAAAGTACAGTACAGGTATGTGTATTGTGGGCTATTAGGGTCATTGATACTTTGTTATATCAAAGTCTTATTTATGTGAAAATTTGAGTATACAATACTGTACTGTATGTGGTTCGAAGGTCAGTACACAAGTGTGGTACATGATGTTTCAGATGTGTGGTGCCAAGGTCCAATGAATCTTGAAAATAAATTTTGTAAAATATTTAAGTTCACTGCGCTGTTGTTTCCAAGAGTACGCATCTTGTGGTGTTTTGCTGTAAAAACTCTCGACCAAATTAATTGGTGTGTGGCCAGACTGTTTAATAGATTTTTTTTTTTAAATTGGGTATCACAGTGGTCATGGGAACCATAATAGGCTTGAGTCTTATTGGCACATTATATGTATTGGTTAAATTCGATCTTAAGACAGGCTCAAACTTATTGTCACAATGAGATTAAGGCTTAGTCTTCATTTTCCATTAGAATTTAGAGTAATTTAACACATGAGTCCTTGATGTGCTATTATGTATGGCACCCAACAGAATTATAAGCCCAGTAGACCACAAATATAAAAACTTGAAAAGTACTGTTCAGATTAAATTTTTCATTTAAACCATGTGTTAAGACATGGAGCTCCATGGGCATGTAAAGCCCTAATTTACCACAAAATTTCCAGGCACATTTTTTTGTTAAAACTCCATTTTATTATTACAGGGTCCTTATCCTATTAGACCCCAAGCTCATTGGCAACCTAAGCTTTGGGCTTGTTCGTCATTTCCATTAAAACTTGGTCTCCTGTAGTATGCTCATGTACAGGTGTACCTTATTTCATCAAGATCAACTTGGTCCTTTTGGGAAAAGTTCTTGAGAATTTTAGAAGAATTTCATGTGACCCAAATTTAGTCTTTGGAGATCTTTTAAAAGTCCATTGAGTAGGGATCCTATGTGTATAATGATGTATTTTTGTGGATTATTTTTACTAATGAGTATAAATCCCTAAAAAGATTGGCTCAATACCTATAAGCCAGTGAAACTGGCATTGAAAAAGTACTTTAGATATTGTAAAATAGTCATTATAAAATGAAGGAATAATAATTCTAAACAGTATTATAAATAGTATCACTTATAAGTTAGTGCCACGGATTATTTTCAGTCTATTAATGAAATGTTGGATTATAATTTTTACATAAAAGTTTGTGAAGTTTGAATATATGGAGTGCAAAGACATGGACGGTTACTAAACATTATATACTTGCACTTTTTTCCAATACACAGTACAGTACTGTACAGCATATATGTTATGATGCCACAACTCCATTTTATTTCAGACATGGTAATTAGTCCTTTGATAATTGTGATATTCTTCAGTTCTTAGAGCCACTGACATGAAACAAATACAGTGAACAGTGGTTAAAGCCTTCATTCAGTGATCTTCAGAAGTATTGAAGGTGTTATATACTATACAGTGTATATACTGTGTTGGATTTGTGAAGCATAAGCCACAGCCTCTGTTGGAGAAGTATAAAGTTTTGGTTAATTTTATGGATAAAGTTAAGATTGTACATAGTATTACTTGTTGGCTCTTGTCTAGTTGGGATCTTAAACCAAAATTATATGCTTTTTTTAATATGGAGAACACCTAGGATTTTTTTATTAATAATAACAATAAAAGTCGAATTTATAAAAAAATAAAATATAATAGAGAAAGTTATGTATATCAGTGGATTGTTGTCTGTGAGAGACCCTTAAACCATATACAATCTGCTATGTCTAGTCCTGAACTGTAACCTTGTACAAAGTTACCGTGGATGAGTTCTGTGAATTTTATATGCCATCAGCAGTTGAATAGTCTGTAATATAAGCAACTCCTATTCTCTCTGGTATACTAACGTAACATGCATTTGTATGATACTCATTATCAAACAATCTCATTGGGGGAAAAAGAGCAGGTGACATTTACTGAAAATAGTCAAAAGAATCTTTGTGTTTTATATTTTTTAATAAAGCTTGGCAGTTTCACAGTACTTCTCATGCAATTGGAAAGTACAGTAATATCTTCTTACTCCAGTCAATCAGATATTATATGTATTGTTACCAAGAAAACCAATTTAAAGAATTAATGTAAGAGATTTCTATTTTATTAGAGTTAAAGGAGATGCTTGCTAACCATATGCATTATGTTCACAAGTGCTGTCATGTTATGTAACTGCTGAAAATTTATACAAATATTGATGAATTATATGAGGTTGAGAAATTATTTTGAGGAGATGTTACCTGTGGGTGACTGCCACCTTGTAAATAGATAATGATACAGGAAAATGGTCACCCACATGGGTACAGTACCACACCTTATGTAAGACTTCAAAATTTGTGCCAAACTGACAGTGGCAAATGAACAACAGTTGTCTCTGTCAAGCCTCTGGTTTTACCATTAGATTTCCTCCTTTAACAAAATGTACACTATTTTTGTAGTTTTTCTTTGTTTGTCTTCATTTTTTCTTAGAAATTATGGCAAAATTTGAATGTGGAATTAAGAAATTGTATTTCACAATTGTATACAACTGCATGTCCAGTTTAGGGAAATCTATTATAGATATAATGTTGGTGGTATGATAGTGTACAGCAGATTTAGATGTGCTGGCAATGTTTGAGATTAATGTTAGGTGTGCTGGCAGATTGAATAAGAAAATTATTCTTTGTGGCATCCATGTTGCCATATCACCACAATGCTCATGAAAGGCATGCTTGTTTGACATACTGTATATAAATGATATATCCAAGATAATTCCCTCCCACATGTCTTAAATAGGCTCATGTTAATGTGTGCTGAGTAGATTATTTCATCCCATTTTCATATTGACAATTTGTGAAAAGTAGAGATAAAAGATTTTGATTATAAGTGAAAGCTGTCAGTGCTTTTTAGTTAGCAGCATTATCGCGAGTCTACCATAAGCATCCCACACTTTCCTGCGTCTTCCTTCTCCCTCTTCCCAAGAAACCTCCATTCCCATAGAGATTACTGACCTCTTGTTACCTCATACAAGCTGTGGTAATTGTGCAAGGGTTACTAAAATGCCGAGTACTCCCTCTGATAAAGGTCCCACAAGCAGGGAATTTGAACTCTAAAATGTTCTTTAATAATGCTTGTTCCCTAACAGTTACTAGACAGACATTAAGCTTTATTAAATTACCATTTTTAGTTTAAATTTGCTGATTGAAGCATATAGCCTATACGGATATTCTCTTATGATATGTGCTGTAGAAATTCAGTGTAGAACTTTGGCTGTTGGACATAACATGTGGTTTGTGTGCAACATAATATAGTGCTAAAATGTAATTAATAAAGTGTATTGTAAACAGTTGAACATGTATATGTACAAAGATTGAAAAATATTTTATCGGAGAAAATGTGTGTCATTAAACCTGACAGGATTTCCTGATCACATTTTGCTACAGTTATAAGATTATACAGTATAGCAATGGTCACCAACCTTTTGTAGTCTCTGGGCCACATTTGTCATTGGAAATATAGCAGAAGGTGTCTTTCAAGGAAAAACAAACTTATATATGAGTTATTAGCAGTTATACTCAAATCATGTTACCACTTACCAGTTACATACATTTTACATTTACTCTTGGAACTCAAGAGCCCTCCCCAGGGCACCGGTGCACCCGGGGGCCTTGATTTCGAATAAAAGGTCCACGATTCGATGGCGGGGTAATTAGTGGTTGTAATGATGTTCAGGAAATTTAATGACATTTTTAATGTGATTTTGGTGTTAATGTATTGTTCTGTAAGTACTGAATTAGGTAAACCCCTCAAATTTTAATAATGAGAGAAAATTATATTTTGGTCGAAAAATTACTTCTGCAAGGTGTGAGGTTATGTTTTTGACAGTTTTGGCCCAGGGGCCCTCCTAGGGGTGGCAGTACACCTAGGGGTGATGGCACCTCCAAGGGCACTCCTGAGGGGCAGTGCCATCCCTAGGGGTGGCAGTGGCCCTCTAGGAAGTGGTGGTGACCCCAGGAGCCCTTCCAGTGGCGGAGGCGCCCCCAAGGGCGCCCCCAGGGGTCTCCCAAGGCAGTGCCGCCCCCAGGGGTGGCAGTGACCCTCCAAAAGGCGGTGATGATCCCAGGGGCCAGTGGTGGAGGCGCCCCCAAGGGCCCTTCCAGGGGCGTCAGCGCCCCCAGAGGCCCTCCTTAAGGGTGAAGCACCCACAGGGAACCAGCCAAGGGCCACAGCTCTCCCAGGGGCAGTGGTGGCCGTTCCCCCAGGGACGGCGGCACTCCCAGGGATGGTGGCTCCCCCAAGGACCTTCTCAAAGGCCCTCCCAGATGCGGTGGCGCCCCAAGGGGCCCTCACAGGGACGTCAGCGCCCCTAGGGGGCCCTCCCAAGGGTGGCGCCCCCATGGGACCTGCTAGGGACAGTGGCGCACCCAAGGGCCCTCACACGGGCGGATGCATCCACAGGGGACCTGCCAGGACGATTGCGCCCCCAGCAGCAATTGCAGGGGCTCTCCTTAGGGGTAGCGGTGCCCTCAAGGGCCCACCCAGGGGCAGCAGCGCCCCCAGAGGTCCTCCTTAGGGGTGGCAGCGCCCGCAGGGGACCTCCCAAGGGCCGTGGCGCCCCTAGGGGCCCATGCAGGGATGGTTGCGTCCCTAGGGGACCTCCCAGGGCAGTGGCGCCCCCATGGGCAATCCCAGTAGCGGCTGCGCCCGCAGGGGCACTCCCAGGGGTGGTGGCTTCCCCAAGGACCCTTTCAGAGGCGGCAGCGCCCCTAGGGGCCCTAAAAGGGGCGGCAGGGCCCCTAGGGGGCCCTCCCAAGGATGGCGCCCCCAGGGGCCCTTCCAGGGTCGGTGGCTCCCCCACGAGCGCTCTCTGGGGCGGTTGGCGCCCCCAGGGGCCATCTCTGGAGATGCGGCACACCCAGGGGCCCTGCTAGGGGCAGAGGCACACCAAAGGGCCCTCCCAGGGGCACCTGGGGCTATTGATTTCGAATATAAGGTCCATGATTCGATTGCGGGGTAATTAGTGGTTGTAATGATCGGAAATTTTAATGACATTTTCAATGCGAATTACTCGCCAACTCTGGGTTTCCAAAATGTAATTTTGGTGTTATGTGTTGTTCTGTAAGAACTTAAATTTCAATTCTGAGAAAAAAGTATATTTTGGTCGAAAAATTACTAAATGTGTTAACCCGTCACACAAACATTGCACTACAAGTACTGAACTTCACAAGGACTCACTCAAACAGTGGACCTATGAAACGAAGTCCGAGCTTATATTCAAAACTGAACTCTCTCACATAGGATTAGTGGACTTCCAAAAACACTGGCACTCCCCGGGACACACTGGCACTCCCCGGGACACACTGGCACTCTCCGGGACATACTGGTACTCCCCGGGACACACTGGCACTCCGGGACACACTGGCACTCCCCGGGACACACTGGCACACTCTCCGGGACACACTGGCACTCTCCGGGACACACTGGCCTGGGACATACTCCCGGGACACACTGGCACTCTCCCTGGGACACACTGGCACTCCCGGGACACACTGGCACTCTCCGGGACACACTGGCACTCCCCGGGACACACTGGCACTCTCCGGGACACACTGGCACTCTGGGACATACTGGTACTCCCGGGACACACTGGTACTCCCGGGACTCTCCGGGACACTGGCACCCCCTGACACACTGGCACTCCCCGGGACACTTCTCCCAGGACATACTGGGTACGGGACACACACTGGCACTCCCTCTGGCACTCCGGGACACACTGGTACTCCCGGGACACTCTGGTACTCCCCAGGACACTCTGGCACTGGCACTGGCACTCTGGGGCACTCAGGACACACTGGCACTCCCAGGACACTCTGGCACTCCCACACTGGTACTCCCGGGACACTCTGGCACATGCCAGGACACACTGGTCACTCCCGGGACACACTGGCCTCAGGACACACTGGCTCCCGGACATACTCCGGGACACCACTGGTGACTCCCCGGGACACACTGGCACTCCGGGACACACTGGCCTCCCAGGACACTCCTGGGACTCCCCGGGACACTGGCACTCGGGACACACTGGTACTCCCCGGGACACACTGGCACTCCTGGGACACATTGGCACTCCCGGGACACTCACTGGCACTCCCTGGGACACACTGGGACACACTGGTACTCCCTTGGTACTCCCTCTGGGACACTCTGGCACTCCTCTGGCACACACTGGGACACTCCCCGGGACACACTGGCACTCCACCTGGGGACACTCTGGCACTCCGGGACACACTGGCACTCCCCCTGACACACACTGGCCTCCCGGGACACTCTGGCACTCACTGGACACACCCTGACACACTGGCCCTGGGACACACTGGCACTCCGGGACACACTGGCACTCCCAGGACACTCTGGCACTCTGGACACACACACTGCACTCCCCCGGGACACACTGGCACTCCGGGACACACTGGTACTCCCTGGGACACACTGGCACACACTGGCACTCCACCTGGGACACACTGGCACTCCCTGGGACACTCTGCACCTGGGGACACAGGACACACTGGTACACACTGGCACCCGGGACACACTGGCACTCCCTCTGGCATACCCAGGCACCTGGCACTCCCTGGGACTCTGGCACTCCGGGACACCACTCCAGGGACTCTGGCATACACACACTGGCACTCCTGGGACTCCCTCTGGCGCCACCCCGGGACACACTGGCACTCCCCGGGACACACTGGCACACTCTGGCACCTGGACACACTGGCACTCCCCACTCTGGCATACCCGGGACACACTGGCCTCCCCACACTGGCACCCCTGGACACTCTGGCACCTGACACACTCTGGTACTCCTGGCACTTGGCACTGGGACACACCAGACCTCGGACACACTGGCAGCACCCCTGGGACACACTGGCACTCCCTGGACACTTGGCACTCCTGGGACCACTGGTACTCCTGGGACACACTGGCACTCCCGGGACACTCTGGCATACCCTGGGACACACTGGCACTCCTGGGACTCTGGCACTCCGGGACACATTGGCACTCCCCTGGGACTCTGGCACTCCCTGACTCTGGCATACTCCTGGGACACACTGGCATACCCAGGACACTGGCACTCCTGGGACTCACTGGCACTCCGGGGACATTGGCACTCCCGGGACACTCCGGCATACCCCGGGACACACTGGCTCCCTGGGACTCTGGCACTCCCCGGGACACTCTGGCATACCCTGGGACACACTGGTACTCCCGGGCACCTGGGACACTGGTACTCCCCTGGGACACACTGGCACTCCCGGGGACACTCTGGCATACCCCGGACACACTGGCACTCCTGGGACTCTGGCACTCATTGGCACACATTGGCATACCCTCCCACCCTGGGACACTCTGGCATACCCTGGGTATACCCTGGGACACACTGGCACTCCCTGGGACTCTGGCACTCCACTCTGGGACACATTGGCACTCCCTGGACACTCTTGGCATACCCTGACACACTGGCACTCCTGGGACTCTGGCACTCCCACATTGGCACATGACACTCTGGCATACCCTGGGACACACTGGCACTCCCTGGGACTCCGGGACACATTGGGCACTCTCTGACACTCTGGTACTCCCCTGGACACACTGGCACTCCCACTCCCTGGGACACTCTGGCATACCCTGGGACACACTCCCAGGACCTCTGGCATACCCGGGACACACTGGCACTCCCTGACACACTGGCACACACTGGCACTCTGGCACCCTGACACTCTGGCATACCCTGACACACCCTGGCACTCCCAGGACACTCTGGCATACCCCGGGACACACTGGCACCTCTCGGGACACTGGCATACTCCCTGGGACACTGCAATACTGGCACTCCTCCCCGACATTCTGGCATACCCTGGGACACACACTGGCACCCCCTGGGACACTCTGGCACACTCCTGGGGACACACTGGCACTCCCCGGGACACACTGGTACTCCCCGGGACACACTGGTACTCCCCGGGACACACTGGCACTCCCTGGGGCACATTGGCACTCCCTATGACACAGTGGGACTCCCTGGAACACTTTTTTTATTAAAGGAATTATTTTTCTCTATCCTTTTCGCTACTGACCTATCTATCTATCTATCTATCTATCTATCTATCTATCTATCTATATCTATCTATCTATCTATCTATCTACCAATCAGCATTAACCACCCATTAAGGTACGGTAACTACCATTATTGTAGTCTGGGAAGTAATTCGGCTATATTTCTCCATGTAAGGTTTTCTGAGTTAAAGGTGGAGTTAATTTGAGAAGTATTATATTATTCTTAGATAAAAATAAATGTGTTGGTAATATTAAAGTATTTTTAATTATATAATTAAGTAAATCAGTAATGTTGGCAGCCCTGATTCGTCAACCCAGGACTCTTTCCGAAGCTGAACAATTAAGAGTACTGAACAGTATTCTTGTTTATATTAATTTTTACGTAATTTTATCTTTATTGTTTCTTTTCTACACTACGATATAAATTAATTTACCCTAAATTTTGTATTAAAATTTGCATGTACGATTAAGAATGGGTTTATTTTTTAATTTTTCCTCGTTCGGATTTGTTTTTTGGCGGGACGAAGGCGAGACAGGTGATTGGTACGTCACTTGTGAAGCTCCAGGTCAGTGCTAATAGAGACGTAAGGGAAGGAGGTGCTGTCGGTCGTCTCTCTCACTGGACAGTCTTGGTTAGTAAAATGTTGAAGTTTTAATTTATTTAAGTGGTTAAATTTATACTTTCGTAAAGGTCGAGATATGAAGGTTATTTGTCGATTTTGTTTTAAAGGAAATACTTTAAATGGGCTTTAAAAAAATATTAAGATGAATTAATTTATTATGAACGAGCATAGGTTAATAATGGTCGTTAACGCTCGTAATCGCATTGACTAGTTACATTTGTGTATACTTTTCAATTTTGGCTTATGGTTTTATTTAAATTAATGAAATATGGTTTAGTTTTGGTCACAGTACTGAAGACTTTGTGAGTATTTAAGTAACGTTCCTCATACTTATGTACAGTATGTTTTGGTCTTGTATGTTATAGGATTTAACTTTTACTGGCTCTGTTACACTGTTGTCAAGTACTGGGCATGTACTGTCTGTTACACTGTTGGCAAGTACGGGCTCTGTTACTGTTGGCAAGTACTGGGCATGTACTGGCTGTCACACTGTTGGCAATTACAGTACTGTAGTTAAAAGAGCTTACACTCGGTGCCGTCACAACAAATTGTTCCAACAGTTCACAACTCCCTACAAAAAAATTGCCATAAGATTTCTGGACTTGTGGCATCGACCTTAAGTTGTGACCTCTAGTGGGGCTGGCATTTGCTAGTTATGAACACTAGACTTAGTAATGCTCTATTACAGGTTTATGAAATTGTATTAAGTCACCCCTTGTCTGCCTATAAGTTGGACAATGGCATAAACCAATTGGCTTTCCTTTACACATTATGCCGATCACTCGCTGGCCTGTACAGTACTGTAATTATTCATACACCGTCATCCGTTTCAGTATAGTACAGTGCTTACAAATGCTATTTTCCAGTCATTGGGGGACGTTTTGCTTGTTTATGCATCTATACCACAAGAGTTAACGTGTTCGGGAAGCTCGCTGCACAACTGGAAGCTCCCCATCAGGGCTCTATGTAGTACCTTTAGCTTTGATATGTTTTAATACTGGACTCTGAACGTCAGTGTTGTCACTCTTCAAACACGTGGAGGTTTGCATCCTCTTGTGAACCAATCGGCTATTAGTATAGAAGAGGGGCGTGGCTTATAGGCCAGGGTAGCAGGGAAATACTATAATTGTATTATATATAAACTTTATACCAGGTAAAAAATTTACATTTTTTTCTAGTTTATTAAATTAAGAAACTTTATGTAGTTGTAAAGAATTGTAAATTAATGTTCTGGGTTGATGGCATGTTAATGTTTGTACACAGCCCTTGGATTAGTCTAACACATAATTGTAAATGTTAGTTTCTTCAAATTTTAATTATTGGTTTTGGTTATTTTGAGTTAGTTTTGTTAATGTTGCCACATTCTTACAAGACATTGATGGAGAAAGTGTTGAATGTTACTTTGCCTTACACTTACCAACAGTTCTTAAAAACCTTTTCTTTCACTAACAGATACCTTGCATAATGGTCATCAATAATCTAGTACTGTACAGTTGTATAAAACATTGTAGGGGGGCAGTTAACAGTATAATCAGGGAGATGAATACATAATACTGTACACTGTATCAAAGCTATTTATTAATGTTATATCACTACTGTATTAGTTAGACCTATGGTAAAATGAAGGCTGTTACTTAACATTTTTCTCCACTTTTCATATCTGGTGCTTAAGTTGTGCTGTGTAATGCTTCGTGTACTCCGTAAACTAGTTCACATGTGTTCCTTAATATATTAAAATATTGTTCCTGGAAATACTTAAATTAAGTTGAAGTAATTTATATATTGGGGTTATGTTCCTGTGAGGGAAAATCTTTAGTGATAAAAACAACAAAATGGGATTTATTGTTTGTTTGCGTCTATAGTGTAGACATTAAATGAAACTTGTTTATCATGTACTGTATATAGGCAGTGCACTGTACTGTATATAGGCAGTGTACTGCACTGTATATAGGCAGTGTACTGTACTGTATATGGGTACTGTAGGTATACTATTTAATATATTAGGTGTGTATGTTGACAATGAGCAGAAGTTCTCGGGCCGTTGTGAGAAGGTAAATCAGGCAAATAAATTATTGGGTCTTTTAAGAAGGTCGTTCAGATATCTAGACGGTCCATCCCTCGTAACGATCTTCAAGTGTGATGTGCTTCCCCATCTGGAGTACTGTCATCCCATCTGGTCCCCGAGATATGCTAGGGACTGTCAGTTGGTTGAAAATGTTCAAAGGAGGGCCACCAGACTGGTGCATGCACTTCGGCACCTCAGCTACCCTGAGAGATTGGAGCGCCTGAACTTGCCTAGCTTATACAACAGACGGGCAAGGGGGGGGACCTAGTTGAGGTGTATAAGCATCTCAGGGGGCACTATTCAGTCGAGTGTCCTTACTTGGAGCTGGCGGACGCTCGCCCCACAAGGGTCACAGCTCAAGATTGAAGCCGCAAGTCCAGAAAACCGTGAGGGCAAACTTTTTCGGAGTGAGGGTTGTAAACTCTTGGAACAATCTACCAGAGAGTGCTGTGACGGCACCGAGTGTGAGCTCTTTCAAGACAAGACTTGACCAACACTGGAGTGGGTTCAGGTACATTCAGGAGTATGCCCAGTATTTGCTAACAGTGCTTGACAGAGACGTGACCGATCGCCCGGGCGGCTAGCGAGCCGATCTTTTGGTGAAGAATATAAATGAAGAGATGTGACCGATCGCCCAAGCGGCTAACAAGCCAATCAGTGGCGAAGAGGGTAAAAGTAAAAGTACAAGTACAGAGTTGTAATAATTATTCATTCCAGGATGATGACCACGAGTTCTTTTGGTGACCTGACTTGCTGCACCAGACACAAGTCAGGTTAGGTACAGTACAGGACATCTCTCATTGTGGTTTCTTCACTAAACTCTTGACAAAGTACAGTAATTGTAACCCATGGACTGCCTTGTCTAGTGATATTTACACCTAGAAGAGTTAACTAAAGTATTATTACTGTACAATACTTGGGATGCACCAATTAATTGATATCGGCTACAGATAATATCAATATTTTGTTAAATAATCAGTATCTGTAAATAAAGTATTTACTAATGCCAGTTTGCGGTCTGTTTTGGGTTAATAAATTACTCGAACATATTTATTACCGGCAAAATAAAGTAATTACGGAAACCAGTTACTGTAGTCTGTTCACTTATTATGGGAAGGTCACACTCGGCCGCCGATCATTGACTTAATGTTTTACTGGCTAACATGGCAGTGTCCTCTGTGGAAGACTGTCTATAGCTCTTATATGGTAATGAATATATCAGTCCAGACAAAGTAGCTTTTGTGTAATAAGAGAAAAATAATCCGGTAAAACTGTCACTGTCGAGAAAGAGTTTTATATATTGTAGCGTCGTTAAAGTACATTAGATATTTTATTGACCAATATTACCCAAATTAGAACTAAGAACGACCTGCTGCAGTATTATCATAACTCATACAATGAACGACATACTGTAGGTTGTTGAGGCTGGAGAGGAGTTTTTATAACAAATTTAGTAAAAATGATGAATAACAAGATTTAAATCCTATTTTATTAAAGAATGAGTAATTAATGATTGTTCCAAAATTAGTCTTAAATATTAGAATAAAGTCGCTATTGCTTAGAAATGCGTGTATTTTCCACCACCATCTCTGTACAAGTAAACATTAAGCTGATGAAGACAACTCGAGGATAATACAACAAAAATGGCCGTCACGAGGAGACTTTCACCTCCATAATAAATTGATATAAATTTATTAACACGGTTAGTTAATATTTTCTGGTCTTGGTCTGGTTTATCACTTGTCTCGACCCTTACTACTTTCATTTTCACATCAATAGTAAGGACTTTCCCGGGCACCTTGGCTAGTTTACCAACACGTGACAAGGGCCGGGTTATTTAACATTGATGAACAGACTAACGGCAAGTTTATTGTTTTATTTAAATACTGTATTTGGCCGATACTTTGTTTATAGTCTGGCTTTGGTGGTGAGACTATATAGTGACTTAACTGTTTTACCTGCATGATAAAGTTGACCTAAATTATAGCATTAAATCTGGCAGCAGATTATTGGGAGTTTTGAATGTGGTTATTAACTGTGCATCACTAATGTATGGTTCTTCAATTTCTGTACTAGATTAAGTGGATTAATGTGGTACTTCCATAGAGGATTAAACCTTCAGTTTAGGGTCATGTTATACAATACTGTCTTAGGATAAATTAGTATTGTGAAAATATTTTACTTGAAACCTTTTATAGGTAATAACTTGTGACTTTACTTCCAGTAGGTTCTGAACCTTGTCAAGGAGAGGTGTGCACTCTGCTGTACCACACATCTTGCCTCACTTGTACTGCTGTACTAGGCTTCTCTCCTCCAATATCAGGATGGCAAGTGATTCACAACACAACTGAAGGAAGCAGGTGATACAGCCCAGAACCAGCCTTCCACCCCTCCTCTCTACCTCAGGTAAAGAATATAACGAAGTTCAGTTGATGTAAAAATATACAAAAAACAAGATATTACATATAAAATGGCCTGTCAAAATGAACTTTTCCAACACTCGGATTGGAATTTCTCTGCCAGTTTATCCTTAAAACCAAAGACAAACAAATTGCTCTGGGATATTCAATGACCATACTAGATTTCTTGGTGCTATAAATTTCAAGACAAAATGGAAAGTAATGGAGAAATTATACTGAAATTTATATAGAAGAGAAAATGTGTAAAGGGTTGAGAATATTGAAAGGGGATTATGGGGGGCTAGAATTGATGTACAGTCTGGGTCAAGAGTATTGAACAATTGACCGTATTTGGCATGTAAGTACCTGAAGAGCATGGGTTTCAAGTAGTTTTATCCCATTTTGTGGTTCAAGCATAATATGTTTAGTGTTATTAATATATCCCAATCATATAACTCGCAAGTAGATGCCAGATATTGCTAAGTGTTCAACACTTTTGACCCCTAATGTACCTATGATCCTTGATTGATGACAGGAATATCATAACAATTGACCAAAGTTAAAAGCCCCAAAACTGGACTCTTGCTGTAACTACCTATAACTTCTCGACCAATCCTTTAATACATCAAATTTATAACACCAGGAAAAATAATTCTTGGTCATGTTAAAGCTTGACTGTTAATTAACTCGGTAATGTACATAAAGTTACCTACAAGATGTGTACTCTTAGCAAGTAGTTTATAAATTTGGTCCTGTCAAGTGTTAAGGAATTTTGACTAAAACACTTCAGTACATTTTGTCATTACTATATTTAAAACATTTTTATGGTTAAAAAATTTGAATATTAATTTTACATTTTATTTTGTACAGATATGTTCTGAACACTGGAGTGCCGTGCTGCCCTAGACTGTGCTTACTGGCCACTGCCCTGTACTTGCTTGCTGCTGCTGCCCTGGACGGCTCTGCTCTGTGCTTGCTGGCTGCTGCCCTGGACGGCTCTGCTGTGTGCTTGCTGGCTGCTGCCCTGGACGGCTCTACTCTGTGCTTGCTGGCTGCTGCCCTGGACGGCTCTGCTCTGTGGTTGCTGCCCTGGACGGCTCTGCTCTGTGGTTGCTGCCCTGGACGGCTCTGCTCTGTGTGCTGCTCTGCACATGCTGCTGTCCTGGCTCTGCTGTGTGTGCTCTGCTCTGTGTGTGCCGCTCCTGGGCCTGCTCTGTGCTTGCTGCTGCTGCCCTGGGCGGCTCTGCTCTGCTTATGTGCCGCTCCCTGGGGCTCTGCTCTGTGCTTGCTGCCCTGGGCGGCTCTGCTCTGTGCTTGCTGCCTGCTCTGTATGTGCGCTCCCTGGGCGGCTCTATGTGTGTGCCACTGCCCTGCTCTGTGCTTGCTGCTACCCTGGATGGCTCTGCTGTGTGTGCTGCTCCCCTGGACTGCTCTGCACATGCTGCTGTCCTGGACGGCTCTGCTCTGTGCTTGCTGGCTGCTGCCCTGGACGGCTCTGCTCTGTGTGTGCCGCTCCTCTGGACTGCTGCCCTGGCCTGCAAATTTATAGCCATTATTTCCATTAATAAATGTTTAAACGTCATAACGTCTTTGTTAATCTTTTCTAGCATTTACAATATTTTCAACTTTTACAGAAAATTGACTTAAGTTCAGCTTCAGATTTTGAAGCAAAATAATTCATTATACAAATATAATATACAAATGAAAAATATATATATACTTGAAAAATAAATATATATATAAATAATATATTTATAAAAATAAATAAAATATATATAAATAAAAAAAATAAACAAATAAAACAAAATATATATACATCATATATATATATATATATATATAAATAAAAAAAATAACAAAAAAATCTTAAAATACAAAAAAAAATAGCTAAAAGTATGAAAAAAATAGCATTTTTATGGAAAAATGGCTAAATTTGAGCAAAAATTGGATGAAAATAGCCAAATTTGAGCAAAAAATGGCCGAAAAATTGCCCTTTTTTTACCCTTAAGTGTTTTTTGAGTTTACCATTGCCAGGACTAACGTTGAAAAAGTTTGGTAAAGGATAATCGGAAGAGTCTCTGGAGGAAAACCTTCAAATTATCATTCACCAATAATATAAAAAAAATAAAAGCATAATGGACTACCTGGACATGGGGAGAGTAACTCAGTAGGGGCCCAGTGAGTTACTCTCCCTATGTCCAGGTAGTCCATTATGCCTTATAATACACAGATGCCAAGCTAGAGCTCTTAAGAAAGGCACAAATGTTTTACCTCTAAAACCACAAAATTTTTTATTATTACTCAAAATTTGCCCAGGAATAATTTTGGCCATTTAGACGATGAATTTTTGGACTTGGAATATTTTTAAACGAATTTTTGGACTTAGAATATTTTAAACGACGAATTTTTGGACATAGAATATTTTAAACGATGTTATAAATTTTACTGTTAAGCACATCTAGACCTTAATGGATAAATATAAAAATATTTGGCATAATCAGATTTAATACATCAAAATAATTCTGACATTTCGTTGCTACTATAATATGCTGTCTACTGGGGTATTTACACTGTACCCTTGTTAAATAGGATCTCTGTAATTCGTACTTCGGTTTAATTCGTATGTTTCTCAAAAAATTAATTAAACGATTTGAATTTAGAATGAAACAGAAATAACTGAGTGGTTCAAAAAGTTGCCTTGGCTGTCATATACAATATTATATTTATAATTATTGTGCAAATATAAATAGTTTTAAAATGTACATACAGTACAATAAAGTAAATAATACAGTAATAAATAATGTGAGGCGAGATCGTGGATGATATTCCATAAGTGTAACGGCCACACTGGTAAATGAAGTAAAAACCCTCATTGGAGAAATAAAAGATGAAATTTTGGAGCTGGTTTGACTATAGTATGTTTTTTATGAGCTGAGAAGAGATGCCCTTCCCCCTCCTCAAGAGTTGCACCTGATTGGCTGTTTCAAATCCGTCTGATTTCGTCCTGAAGTATTGATGTATTTCTAAATGAGTTTATTCATAATGACCGTTTCTGACGAGAAAGATATTTAGCTAAATTATATAAAGATACATACATTAATTATTTCAAACATAAACACATAG